CATTACTGAGAAATGCTTCCTGAAAGAATTGCTACTTGGGAAGCATCATAGAAAAACCAAACCAAACTCACGTCCATTGAGTTGATTCCCACTGACAGCAACCTATAGGACAGAGTAGAACTGCCCCTGTGAGGCTGTGAGACTGTTCATTCTTTATGGGACTAGAAAGCCTCATCTTTCTCCCAAGGGGTGGTTAGTGGTTTCAAACTGTTGACCTTGAAGTTAGCAACCCAAAACTACGCAACCAGGGCTCCAAGGAATTATCACAGGACTGTTACTTTCATAACCGAACTGAGACATAACTTCAAATAGTGAACTGGTGTGACTGATGAAATGTCAAAATTCTACTACTAGTATAGCCTTTATAATCCTTTAAAAAAGACTAAAAAATCATTTAGAGAAATCCACACTTATGGTTGGTATAAGAGACTCAGTAACACAGATCCTGACGATAGCAAAATACACACACTAAATCCAACCTACTATAGTGTGGCACAGTGGGTTAAGCATTGAACAGCGAATCGAAAGAGAGTGATTCAAACCCACTCGCCACTCCACAGGACAAAGAAGTGTTTGGCTGCTTCCATAAAGATTTCAGCCTTGGAAACCCTTGGGAGCTGTGCTGTTCTGGTCAACAGGGTCACTATGACTAGGAAATGACTTGACTTTTTTTTTTTTTGGCGTGCCTGTTTGCTTGCTATTGTACACAGGGCAGCATTACCACATTTTTACACAAGTAACTCACAAGCTATATGTTTTTGCCACCCGAATGATTATACCACCCTTGGCATTTTTGTAAGCACACTATGCAAATTTCATATAATGCACACTCATATACTTCGGACATATTATCAGAGCAGACCAGTCCTGGGCAAGGACATCACGTGTGGTCAAGTAGAGGGGCAGTGAAGAAAAGCAAGGCCTTCAAAGAGCTGGATGGATAGAGTGGCTGCATAAGGAGCTTATGCATAACGATTGTGAGGACAGCACAGGACCAGGCAGCTTCTGTTGTATAAAGGGTCGCTATGGGTTGGAACTGACTTGCCAGCACCTAAAAACAACATGCATTATTTGTGTAATAAAAGTAGCATATCTGACACAATCGCTCAAGACAAAATGGGTGCATAGCAAATGTGAAAAAAGCTGATGGGGCCCAGCTATCAAAAGATATAGAATCTGGGGCCTTAAAGGCCTGAAGACAAGTGGCCATTTAGCTGAGAAGCAACAACATCCACATAGAAGAATCACACCAGCCTGTGTGATCATGAGGTATTGATGGGATCAGGTATCAGGCATCAAAGACCCAGAACAAAAAATCCTATCAATGTGAATGAGGGGGAGTATGGAATGGAGACCCAAAGCCCATCTGTAGACAATTGGACATCCCCTTACAGAAGGGTCACAAGGAAGGGACAAGACAGTCAGGGTGCAGTATAGCACCGATGGTACATACAACTTTCCTCTAGTTCAGTGGTTCTCAATCTGTGCGTTGTGACCGCTTTGGAGGTTGAAGGACCCTTTCACAGGGGTCACTAAATTCATAACAGTAGCAAAATTACAGTTATAAAGTAGCAACGAAAATAATTTTATGGTTAGGGGGTCACCACATGAGGAACTGTATTAAAAGGTCACGGCATTAAGAAGGCTGAGAACCACTGCCCTAGTTTTTTAATGCTCCCCTACCACCACCTCCCACTGCCCACCACTAACATGACCCCAATTCTACCTTACAAATCTGGCTAGAATAGACCATGTTACATGGGTATAGATAAGAGCTGGAAACACAGGGAACCCAGGACAGATAAACCCCTGAGGACCAATAATGAGAGTAGCGTTATCAGGAGGGTAAGGGGAAAGTGGGGGGAAAAAGGGGAACTGATCACAATGATTTACATATAATCCCCTCTGGGGGATGGACAACAGAAAAGTGGGTGAAGGGAGACATCAGTCAGTGAAAGATAATAATTTATAAATTATCAAGGGTTTGTGAGGGAGGGAGGGGGAAAAATGAGGAGCCCTGATATCAAGGGCTCAAGTACAAAGATAATGTTTTGAAAATGATGATGGCAACAAATGTACTTGAATCAATGTATGTATGCATTGTGATGAGTCCCCCAATAAATAATTTTTTTTAAAGAAGCAAATTTTTGTGTTATCTGTGTAAATATATAGCAATTAACACAACTATACTGGACTTTGGGGAAGTTTTTTTGAAGATGACTTGAGCACCCGAATAAGAAGGGGTACCTTAAAAAAAGGAGGGGGGGTATTTCTTTTTCTTCAAAGCTATATATTTAATAAACTTCTTTTACAAAGCAACCTTATCACCTTCAAAGTCCTTTGATGATCTGACAGGGAGCGGTGGCTGCGTGGAAACCACTGGATTTCTCCTTGGGAGAAGAGAGGCTCCTGCGGTGCACACCACCCACTGCCTCTCCCCTCTCATTTCTGAAGGCATAGAAACAGAATCTCTTTGAGATCTCCCCTGTAAATGGCACCAAACTTCCCCAGGTGCTCCTCAATAATTGTGCTTCTGTTAGCAGGATGGTCTTATTTTTGACCTTGGCTTGTCCGTGTTTCAGGATGAGTTCCCCACAGCCTACAGATTTGGAAACCCCTACGTCGCATAAGGCACCACCATACACATTTGTAGCACTCATGCCATACAGGGATCACTGTGATCACTATGGGATCAAAGACATCACTGAAAATCTTCTTCACGCAGTCTCGTGAAGGCCTTCTTCACCAGAAAACTCACGCCGCTGAGCCTTGGGATGCGCACATCAAAGGTCAAAGAGCGTCCGTGGGCACTTCCTCTCTAGCCATCTAACTTGGACCCTGCTCCACTGCTGTGGCCGGGAATCAAGCAGGGACGATTCAAGTCGCTGACACTGGAACCTTTTTCAGTGGTATCTGCTGCTGCTTTTCCCACAGTGCCTGCTTTGCCCGGGTGGCACTGAGGACCTGATAAGCCTTTGCCTTTTCTGGAACCAACAGGATCTTTTTTCTTGGCTCTTCCTCCACCACCTTTGCAATGTTGGGGCTACTGCTCATGTGCTGGGCATTATGGTCTTTAAAGAACCACAGACCAGGACATGGGACCAGAGCGACAACAGCAGCTTCGGGACAGGGAGTCCATGTCACTGGGACAGGCACACTCGGACACGGAGAGGGAGACTGTTGTACCATTCAAAAATCGCAACCAATGTCACTGACGTGTGCATGCAGAGATGACTGAATTGGGGTGATTTGTTGACTAAAGTCTCAACAATAACAAAAATTTAAATGAATAAATAATGATAAAAGCCACCACAGAATTTTATGACACATTTGGGTTACAGTTTTAGTAATTGACCATGTCATATAAATTGGAGATACTCCCAGAAAAGAAAATGGTGTTTTTAAAGTCTTAAGGAAGAATAGCATTCCTATGGCCTTGCCTACTTTTACCTTGCTGACTGTGAACATTTTAAAAAGAAAACAGGATAGTGAGAGATACTATCAAACAAACAAACCCTCTGCCATCAAATCAAGTTTGACTCAAAGCAACCCAGCACAGGGTTCCTGAGGCTGTAAATCTTTATGGGAGCAGACAGGCTCATCTTTCTCCCAAAGACCAACTGGTGGTTTTGAACCATCAACCTTGTAGTAGTAGACAGCACCACTGTGGCTCAGCAGTCACCTATTACGTACAGTACCTTGGCAGCTTTATTAACTTTGTCTTCGTTTTCTCTCTTATATACAAACACTGAAGCAAATTTTCCATCTTGCAGTACAGCTGGATAAACAGCAAGTCCAGAAGGTAAGGTAAATGGTGGTTCTCTCAATGTATAGCTTTTTAAAGCACTATTCTCTGATCCCATTCCTTATGCAGTGAGGCTGTACTGCAGCTCTTCTACAATGCTAAGCAGACCTGAAAGAAAATACAAATAATTGCAAACATTAAATCTACCTACAGCATTAGCAAGACATAGTCAAGATACAGCCATGCATAAGCATTTAATCTATCAATTTCTGCATTCTTTATAAACCAGGCATTTGACAATAAAAATGGTAAATGCTCAGCGAGGTATCAGCAATGTTTGCCAAGTAACAAGTGACAACACCAGAGAAAACGCACTTAACCAAATACCACATGCAGTTCCTGTCTCTGTGTGTCTCTTTATCTTTCTCTCTCTCACACACACACTTCTCACTCACTCATGAACTCACCTCTACCTTTCCTAACCCATTCACTTTAAAGTCCTGTAAAGCCAAAGGGGCAGTTTGACTTGGTCCTGCAGGGTCACATTGGGTCAGAATTGACTCGATGGCAGTGGATTTTTTAACCTACTCATATATCCTGCCTACAAAGGAAAATGAAGCAAAACTTTAAAAATGCTGAAACTTCTACATGAAGAGGCTTCAAAAAATAGGTGGAAAACACATTCCAGTATCTTTAATTCCACTTTCCCACAAACATTTGAATAAACTAGCTTAAAATTCAAAAGAAAACCATAACTTAAAGTAACTGTGGTAGTCACCTAATCTGGTATCAATTTAAGGATTGAGAGTGTAGGGGTGGAGTCTAGGCTGTCAATCTGGAGGTAGTCAATGAGACTTCTGTGTGGGCATGGCCTTCTCCTGAGAGTTCTGGGAAATCTGGTACTTCCTCCTTGGAGGAGGAAGACCTCTTTCTCTCTCTGCTACTCCCTGGGAGACATTGCAGAAGACAAGCCACATGGACACAACCAGACCTCATAAGCCAGAGAAGCCAGAGAGAGACCCCTGCCAGCACCGAGATGCTTACAATGCCACTGAACCCAAAGACATTCTACCCACTGGCTTGTGATTGTCCTGCATTTGGCTTCATTGCATGTGTTTCTCAATTGTAAATTACTTATACACGTAGGTGTGGCAATGGATTTGTTTCTCTAGTCTACCCAGACTAACACAGTAATTTACAATTCAAAAGGAAAACACAATTTGGACAAGTTGGATAACAAATGAGAAACAAGTAAACAAATAGCTCCTATAAAGTGCAGTAAAACTCTTAAGACACAGAGAAATAAAAACAATAAGCATGAGAAAAATGTGCGCTTTCCTACTGCAGACAGGAGATCGACATGTTACATGCAAGAAGCTGTTACATCAGCTACATCCCACTCTTAGATTAGGCTGTCCAAACTGTATTATATGGTATGTATATGTGGCCGGATGTTGCCTGAATGGTTGTTATGTAGCACGTGGCTGTATACACAGATTGATTTCACGCAAATTTATCACAAAGTTGTAGAGGCAGGCTAAGTTCCAAATTTGTAGGTCAGCAGTCAAGCTGGAGGCTTCTTCTGACTCTGTGGTTGCAGAGAGTGACGAACCCAAAATCTGCGGGTTAGAGGCACACTACCAGCTCACATCACAAAAAACAGAGGTCAAATGATGACAAGTTATGTGCAAGACTGAGAGCGTTTTGCCAAAACCTCCATATATGTTGGATGTACCCCACAACCCCAAGAAAGTCCCACTACACCAGACGACAAAATGAAGGGTAGCTACATCATACCTAGCAAGCTGACACACATTAATCAGTACCACGAGAACACATCGGGGGTCGCCTGGGATGGGTGATGTGTAGTGGAGCAGGAAGAAAGGCCCCGAGTGAGGGAAGCATCACAAAGGGCATGTAGACATTCTTGGGCTGTGGGTATGTTGACTATGATCATGATGAACAATTACAAACACCAACATGTGTAAAATTGTACACTTCCAATAGGTTCTATTTAATATTTTTATGTCAGTTATACAAACATTTTTGTCAATTAAATGATGTATTTTATGTATGCCAATCATATGTCAAACAACAGTAAAGTTGTTTTAAAAATACATACACACAAAGATTGGATAGACATGTGCAAAATATTAACCTCCCTGGAGGTCTAATTATGTAATTTTGTACCCAAAGCAGTACATTGTTTTGCATAATATTTGTTGTTTTATATTGTTGGCCTGTAATTCTTAAGAAATTACTCATTTTAATCTCTCCAGTAGACATTCCAGGTATGATAAACTTTAATACACAAAATCATAAATTATAATATAATAAATATAAAAATAACATAAGTTTTTCAATAATGTAATCAAATAAAAAACACTGCAATTTTTCAAAAAGGGTGCAACATCAAGGGTGTATTCAATAAAAATTCCGGGTGTGAAAAATTTTGAAACATGGGGCTGCACAAACTCCGATGTGACAATCAGGACCATGGAACCTGGCTTGCTTTCTTATTCTGTCCACTGCCATCTCGCTTTGAGCAACAAACCACACACATCCTCGTAGGTGCTGACTTTTTTCGGCTGGTGGGATATAATCCATGAAGTGACGACCAGTCAGGCGTTCTGGGTTGACAACGTCAACAGCGCGACGTCCAGGTCTATTCACAGCCATTGACGGTGTGTGGTGGTTCACAAAGATCCGTTCAGCAACTTGCCAAATGAAGTCAGAACGAACCAAAGGCCTGTCACTCTTTGCTCTGTGCAAAATGCAGGCATTCCACAAGCATTGCTCGAGAGGATACCTGAGCTCTTCTTGTAGTATTTCGTTTGCCGTTTCCGCATTGCTGGGTAGAATGTAAGTGCTTGGTCGGCGCTGTCAGTACCTCCCCTGGTTTTATTGCAGTCCATCACTACTTGTGGCTTCATGGCTTCTTTCCCACCTTCCGTGCGTTCCATAACAGTTGCGGTATCATGAACTGTACTGAGTAGGCACACATCTTTCTTGTCACGCCATCGCAGTGCCATCACCTTGCCTTTCTGCCAGGCAACCGTTTCTCCAGTTTTTAGCTGCTTCTTGCCAAACATTGCTGGCACGTCACGCCGGTTAGCCCTGACGGTTCCATAGGCATTGGTTTTGTTTTTTATAAGAAACTCATAACGTTCAGGGGATGTACAAAAGTTGTCAGTTGTTAGCCATAGTTGCTGTACTTTGGATTGAATTTTGTGCCTTTTCTAGTGTATATGACCAAATTCCAGATGTAGCCAGTTGACGATTCACAGAGCATATAGGATTTTATGCCAAATCATGCTCTTTTTGATGCAATGTATTGTATCCAGCTGAGCCGTCCCTTATAGACCACTAGACTTTCATCTATGCCGATGTCTCTTTCTGGCACATAGGTCTGCTGGAAATTCTTTCCAATCATTTGCGATACTTCCCAAATTTTCTTTAGTTTTGATGCAGGATGAGTAGTTTCATCAAATTCTTCATTGTTTGTGAAGTGAAAAAATTTCATAATCTGGGAAAATCTGTATTCTGACACAACGGTGCTGAAAAATGGTGTTGCAAGTAGTTTATTGGTGGTCCAATACCATCTCCGTAGGGGTTTCCCCACTACTCCCTGAAGTATGATGAGGCCCAGAAATTCCCACATGCCATCTTTGGTCACTGGTTCCACGTTCCGCTTCGTGAAAACTTATGGAGCAGAGTAGCGGATTGTTGCTCTTCGTACCGGTGTGTCCCTGGAACGATTTTTTCAATGACCTCACCGGTCAGAAGTAATTGCAGGTATGCCAAAGGGTTGGTGTGGTCAACATCTACTTTCAGACCAGGTGCTCCATTAAACGGGAATCTTGGGGGAGCTGCCTGATCCGTACCGCAGACAATAGAACACCAAGTTCGCACTTCGCTCAGCTCAGGTGCGGACTCGTCACTGTCGTCACTTACCTGATCAGTGTCAGTGTCGGATGATGAACTTCCCATGAACCGCTGTTGCTCAATTCTGCGAGTAATTCTAAGTCACTCTCGCTGTCATTTTTCTGGTCTAAAACTCCCTTTTGTGCTAAGGTGACACTTTTTTGAAACCATGGACAAAAATTTCCAGGCAAAAATTTTTCCAAATGACAGTAAAAGGGCAGGCTGGTGACTGATCTAGGGACAAATCTGAGGCGATTTGCTTTGATACAATGTAATCCTCACAGGTTACACTGTATCACTGTTCGGGTATGCTTATGTCTCTTTTAGACTTGCACTTTTGAGTTTCCGGCCCAGTTCCTCCCCATGCGGCGATGCTGCACGCAGAGAACGGAACAGAACGAACGAGGAAGTCAGATTGCAGTGTAATCTCTGCAGTGGAATCCCGAGTGTGGCTTGGGTTACCACTTCTGACAGTTAACATTTACCCCGAGCCACACTAGGGAATACCGCCAGGGAGGTTAACAGAGGTTTGCAATGTTGGACTATAGATAGTATGGGCACAAGTCCGTGTGTGTATCCAAAAAAACCAAACTCACACTAAGTTTTTCAAAATCTAAGATCGTTTCTGAGGCTAAGAACTAAGTCTTTTTTTTTTTTTTTGCAGTAAATCCCCTATCTACTTAGTAATTTATCTCCTTTAAGAATAAAAGTCCCCAGGTATAAGGCATCATCAGAACAAAAAATCTTACCATAGTGAATGGGGGGGGCTGGGGGGGTGAGGACTGGAGACCCAAAGCCCATTTGTAGGCCACTGGAGATCCCCTTACAGAGGGGGTCTCGGGGAGGAGATGAGCCAGCTAGGGTGCAATGTAGCAATGATGAAAAATACAACTTTCCTCTAGTTCCTAATGCTTCCTCCGCCAAAATTATAATGATCTGAATTCGACCTTGCTAGTCTGGCTAGACCAGAGGATGTACACTGGTATAGATAGGAACTGGAAACACAGGGAATCCAGGGCGGATGATCCCTTCAGGACCAGTGGTGTGAGTGGAGATACGGGGAGGGTGAAGGTAGAGTGGGCTGGAAAGGGGGAACTGATTACAAGGATCTACAAGTGACCTCCTCCCTGAGAGACGGACAACAGAAAAGTGGGTGAAGGGAGACGTCGGACAGGGCAAAATATGACAAAATAATAATTTATAAATTATCAAGGGCTCATGAGGGAGTGGGGAGTGGGGAGGGAGGGGAAATAAATGTGGACCTGATGCCAGAGGCTTAAGTGGAGAGGAAATGTTTTGAGAATGATGAGGGCAATGAATGTACAAATGTGCTTGCTTTACACAATTGATGTATGTATGGATTGTGATAAGAGTTGTGCCCTTAATAAAATGATTTTTTTAAAAAAGAATAAAAGTCTCCACCCCCAGAAAAAATATAAAGCACTAAAAAGTGCCAAGAATCTCTAACATTCACCTTTCTACTTGCTTCTACAAAAAGTTAATGTTGAGACAGGATTACTAAGACAGTTACTATTGTTGATTCTCCTGTTGGAGGAGTTGCGGGGTCTGCCCAGAGAGCAACATGCCTTGCTGAGTAGGGAGGCTCACGTTGAAACCCTAGCACCCTTACTGGTAACAAACCCCATAGGAAGCCCAGCTTCAGATTAACTTCCCTCACTGCCTCACTGACAACCTTCCAATCAGCGTTCGTAACCTGAGGCAGCTTGAGTGGGTCTATGGTCTTTGGCACCAAATGAAATGTCATTTCATTAAGAGGAAAATTATTCTTGAGCTCATTTTACCTGAAAAACCTGTCAGACTAGAGGAATAAGTTACAGGTTGTTACTCTGAAAAAAGAATACTTAACATACTCATCAAAAGCCTTTCCACACAAAGTGAAAAAGAAAGCCCACAGACTAGGACCAGAATATTGGCTAACACATATCCACCAGGGACAAACTGCTACACTTATAAACCCAACACCAGAAAAACCCCAACCAAATAATTCAATTAAAAATGGGCAAAGGTCCAGACAATTCACCAAATAAAATATTCAGGTAGCTAACGAATACATGAAAAGATGCTCAAAATCATTAGCCAGTAGAGAAATGTAAATCAACACTAAAATGTAATACCATCTCACATCAACAACAATGACCCTGATTTTAAAAACCAAAGCCAATAAATGCCAACGAGGCTGTGGGAAGACTGGAACTCTCCCACACTGTTGGTGGGACCACAAAGTGGCACAACCTTATGGAAAACCCAGCACTTCCTTAAACAGCTGGGAACAGAAATCTCCCATGACTGCGCAGTACCTAGGAGATGAGGCTCTCTTACTCCTGTGAAGAGTTACAGTCTGGGGAACCCACGGGGCAGTGCTAGTCTGCCCTGGAGGGTCGCTGTGAGTCAGAATTGACTCAATGGCAGTGAATTTTTGTGTGAAAGCAATACATAGAGATCTAAGGGCTATGGCATGAATCCACATATGCATACCCATGTTCATTGCAACATAAACTAAGTGTCCATCAACAAAACAAGTGAACAGGGTGCATTCACACAATGGACTACTACACAATAATCATGAATCTGCGAAACATCCCACAACTTGGCTTAATCTAGATGACATTATACACCGTGCAATTAAGTCAAATTGGAAAGGGCAGATACTGTATGAGACTACTACTATCAAAAAGCCAAGAAAAAGTTTCTACATAGAATGAAACATTCTTTGGTGGTTACCAGAGAGAGGTTAGAGAGGGGGAGAGAATCTCTAATTAGAGAGTAGACAAGAGTTAATTCTGAGAGCAGAGAGAAGATGAGGGGGTTAGTGGGGAGGAAGGGGGAACTGATCCCAATGATCAATGTATAGCCCCCCTCCCCCCTCCCTCCCAGGGGGATGAAGAACAGAAACATGGGTGAAGGGAAACAGATATGCAAACAATAATATCATTTATCAAGGGGTTACAAGAGGGTGGGGGAAAGAGGAGCTGATACCAATGGCTCAAATAGAAAGTAAATGTTTAGAAAATGATGATGGCAACATATGTACAAATTGTTATAAGAGGTATAAGCGCCCCAATAAAATGATTTTTTTTTAAAAGAGTTAATTCTGGTGAAAAGACAGGAAACACAGTATGAGGAAGGCAGCACTACACAGTCAAGTCGAAGACACTGACAGGTGGGCAAAGACAGACAACTAAGGGCAATGCTATCACAAGTACATATAACCCTACAATAGCAATAACAACACTAACTTGTGAGTAGATGTATGGGTAAACAGTATGCTAAATAGGAGAGGAAGGTCTTATGGGAGTATACCCCAAACACAGATAGATATGGCAGTGGATACTTCGCCACTATTGGTTTCCTCCTGCCTAGAGCAAACAAGCTGGAACCTGGTCAAACAGTGGGTTATGAGTTGTGCTACTAACCAGGTCAGCAGTTCAAAAGCATCAATTCAACATCACCAGCTGCTTGTCAGGAGAATGATGAGGCTTTCTAAGACCCTGTAAATTTATAGTCTCAGAAACCTGCAGGGGCAGTTCTACTCTTATGAGGTAGCTATGAGTCAAAACGGACTCATGGACAGGGGGCTATGTTGTGAATAGATGAGAGCAAAGAAAAATGAAGACTCAGGAATTCATAGACTATAGTCTAAAGGGCTAAAGACCCACATGAACCACCGTCTTCTCTAACCTCTAACTTGAGACCAGAAGAACTAAATGGTGCCCAGCTCAGACAGACCACTCTGACCTAGCTAGACCACAACAGATGCCCATCCCTAGCACCATCAGAAGGGGTAAAAGATGTCGAACAAAATTCAAACTTAAAAAAATAAAGACAGAAAACATTGCCCTCAGATAAACAAATAGGGAAGCCGGGGAGGAAATAGGGAGAGAGCTGACACACTGGGGAGGGGTGGACGAAGACAAGGACTGCAATCATTGTCACAGCACAGTCTTTGTATGAACTACTGAATGAAAAATTAACCTGCCGTCTAAATGTTCACCTAAAGGACAATTAAAAAAAATTATCTATACGAATCAACTAATCAGGCTATTGTGTTAGTTGCTGGAGACATAATCTTACAAAAGGCCCACTTATGAAGCTTACACTCTGGTGGAAATTACTTATAGATTCTAACTTAAGAGACAGGAATAAAAGGAAAATTCTGCAACAAGCCAGCGGGAAACATGAGACAGTGGAATCAAAATCTGTTGAGAGTCTGAAGCTGAGGGAACACCAAAAAAAACAAACAAACCCCAAACTTACTGCCACTGAGCCAATTCTGATTCAGTGACCTTAAAGAGAGCAGAGCTGCCCCTTTAGGTTTCCGAGGCTGTGAGTCTTTACAGGAACAGAAAGCCGTTCTCCCACGGAGCAGCTGGTGATTTTGACTACTGGCCTTGCTGCTGGCCGCCCAGTGAGTAATCCACCATGCCACCTGGGCTCTTTGAGGGAACGAACACAGGGTGTGCAAAATCCCGGAATGAAACACAGTAAGATACACTGAAGAAACTAAAGAAGGTTCTTATGGATGGATGATGAATGTAAAGATGAAAGATGAGGTTGGAGGTAAATGGGGGTCAAACTATGAAGAGAATTACAGGGTTTTGGATGTTATCCTGAAGGCAAGGAGGAAATCTTGACATCTTTAAAATCTGAATTTTCTTCCAAGCATTTTGTAGACTTAGTACCCTTGACAACATGGACAAGCTTTTTCTGTAATGCAATGCAGGCATGCACTCATATTTCCATGTCCTCAATTAAAACTCTCGCTGCCATCATGTCAATCTGACTCCGAGTGGCCCTACAAGACACACTAGAACAGCCTCTGTAGCTTTACAAGACAGGAACTATGGGAGTAGGAAGCCTCATCTTTCTCCTGTGGGGCAACTTGTGGTTTTGAACTAATGACCTCATAGTATGGAGCTTAACATGTAACCACTATGCCATATGTCCTTAATACCATTCCTAAAACACTACCTCTTCTGTATACTTGGTTAATCTAACATCCTTCTTTCTTGACTATAAAATAGAGCTTTCTAAAATCAACATACCCCAAGAGGAAAACTGAGAACAAGTTAATGAAAATCTTGGCAGAAAATTACACTGTTTATTAGTTATGAGATCTCAGAGGAAAAGAGATGGGGACCAAGACTCAGGAGCAATGCTCTGGCTAGATTGACAATGGGTACTTCACCATTTCTAAATTTTTCTTTGTGGGACCTGTAGGCCTTACAACACCCATTAACCTCCGGCTAAACATTACGAGTTTCTAACCAGTATCGTAGGAAACCTTTGCTGTGAGTCAGCTCCGACTCACAGAGAGCCCATGCACAACAGAAAAAACAGAGTACACCCGAGTCCTTGCACACTTGCTAGGTTTGAATCCACTGTTGTAGCCATGATTCTTCCTCTTTTTTACTGACTCTCCACTTTATAAGCACTACATCCTTCTCCTGGGACTGGTGTGTCTTACCATATTTGCTTCTAAAGAATATCCTAGCTGTATTTCCTCCAGGATAGATTTGCTTGTTCTTCTGGCAGTCCGTGGCACTTTCAGTATTCTTTGCCAACACCATTAATTCATGTGCACATGAAAGCTTTGAAAGACATTAAAACAGACAGTTTTGCTCAGCACTCTAATTTTGCTCTAACCAGTGGCCATCAAGTCAATTCCAACTCCTGGTGGCCCCATGTATGTCAGAATAGAACTGTGCTACAAAGGGTTTTCAGGGATTGATTTTTCAGAGATGGATTGCCAGGACTTTCTTTGGAGGTATCTCTGGACAGACTCGAACCTCCCGACTTTCAGTGAGCAGTCCAGTGCTTAACTTTCTGTGCCACCACGGATGCTTGTTTATTAATTAACTTTTAAAATCTAAGACCCTAAGGAATAACACTTAAATGTTAAAAAGGGATGACTCTGTGTCTTGAAAGAACTCAAACGGTATACCTTATTGTTTTGGCAGCATGGTGGTTGTTGACAGAAGTCTACGGATGGAGTTGAGGGTTATATTCTATGTCCAGGGTAAACTCTGCCTTTTATTGGGAGGAAATAAAAAGATCGCACTGATGATTACAATCTAAGAACATCTTAAATGCTTAATTCTTTACTTCGTAATACTGTATCTAAAGAGGTTCAAATACTGTTGACATAAACATTGCTGCTAAAATGGTAATTCAGCTAAAATGAATTTTCTGAAATGTAAAACTGATAAGGAATGGAAGTCATAAGAGAGTACAAAAAAGACATTTCAAGACCACAGAAAAAATAGGCACTTTGCCGAATTTATCATCTTTGGTACCTATAAGAAAATGTTGAGTAGAATAGAATTGCATCCACATCAACATCAAAAAGAGACCAGGTGTACTGGTCACACAGAGATCAAATAGACCCTTCAGACTACGGCCCTTAGTTACTTTTCAGGTCTGGCACTGAACTAACCCCGTGTTAGAATTACCAACCATTTACCTTATGTTACAATAAGCAACCATTTAAGTCAAAAAGGGCTGCACCTGCCCAAGGGCAGGGGGTTAGAAAGCAGGAGGAAAGGAAGCCAGACAGGGGTAAGCGACAGTACAGTGAGGGGGCTGAAATGGAATGTAAAACTGATGATCTGCTCTGTAAACTTTCACCTAAATCACAATAATAAGTGTGCCTAGCTTCCTCCATCCTCCCTCCAATAGCAGTTTCTAAACCACATAGGCACTCATAATGTCGGTTGTCTAGGACGCTGTGCAACGCAGATACTGAACTAAGATCTTTCTCTCTAGGGAAATATCTGGTCTCTTCCGATAAAACCCACTGTCAGCTGATTCAGACTCAAGCAAGCTGACTTCAGGGCAGAGTCTATATGAACTGGCCCCCAGCGTTTCCAGGCGGAAATCTTGATGGAAGTAGACTACCGCCACATCGTCCACTGGGTCCAATTGCCAACCCTCCTGTTAGCAGCAGAGCAGGGCAACCAAGCCGCCTCCTTCTCCCTGGGGTTAACTGTAATGATCTCGCCCATAGCAGCGGGATTAAGGAACTCCAAAGAGTCCCTGCTATCTGGGGAGCCCTTTGGTCTGATCTGATTCACGTATACATTCTCCGTATTGAACTCGGCGCAGCGTTGCTAGCTGATCAATATCTAACGAAGCCTTCAAGGATCAAAATATCTAAGTGTGCTTTCTGCTAAGAGATACTATTTTATGTGTCTATATGCACACAGGTCCTCAAAAATATCAGTCACAATAACTCCCTCAATTCAAGACCAGTTTCAAGACTATTCACGTGTTGTTGTTTTTTTAACAAGAGCAATGTATTTGGCTTTAATGCTACATAAAAAGCTTAACGCCGTTCAGTGCTGGCTGGGCCGCAGGAACTTGGACTACGTCTCGGATCAATCGCTTGCCCGGGATAGGTGCGACCCCAGGCCCCTAGGGCTCCTGTAACGCCGTCCCCCCGGGGGAGCGTCCGGTCTGCCGGCCCTTCTGCCGGGAGGGAGGCCCGTGGGTGGACCCCTCACCTTCCACACTTCCCGGAGAGGCCGATTCCATGGCTTCCGCAGACAGCTCCAGCAGCCAGGGCTGCCCGGGCGGGGTCGCCCGCGCCATCAGAGCGCACCCCCTCGCCATAGAGCCAGGGCAGGACGCGCGCAGGCCCGGAGCAGGGCCCAACCGGC